CCCCGCCCCCGCATCTGCCGTGGCGCGACTCCTCCTTCTTGCGGAGCACATCTCCGAAAATCCCTGAAAACCACCCCAACACGTGACCGTCTTAGTTCATTTCCAAGTGCGTTCTACGCACGACCCTGTATCTGCGGCGCCCGTATCCGCTAGCATAAAACCCCACGGCGAGTCAATCCATTGCGGTTGCTCATTTCCGTTTTCGTTGTGCCGGCGGCTTGTTGCTCCCCTCCCTCCGACACATGGTCCCCAAACGGCTGGTGCGTTCTCCCCGCCCCCTGTTGCTCTGCTCTGACGGCGTGATGATGGATGGCAGATCTTGGAGCAAGACATGAACCTGATTTGCGCCCAGGAGGACCACGTGGCCAGGACCGGCAAGACACTGTCGGAGTCGTTTCTGCCCATCAAGAGCTCGGACGTGCTGGTGGTGGAGCTGAGGAAGTGGCTCGACCGCGTCGGCCACGGTATGCCTTTCTTCGAGGGCTGGAAGAAGAGCAAGGTACGCGCGCGTGTGTGTGTGTGTGTGTGTGTGCGTGTGTGTGTGTTTATTGTTAGCATCGACCGCGCTAACCGGCTGGCCAATGAAAAGACTCCATTCTCAGTGCGGTTGAAAACAAGTGTGTGTGTGTGTGTGTGTGTGTTTGTGTGTGTCTGCGCGACCACGTGGGCGAACATCTCTCCTTCATCATTAGTATCGACCGCGCCAACCGGCTGACCAACCCATGAAAAGGCTTCAGCCTCAGTGCGGTTGAAGACGCCAAATTCTTCGGAAGGCCACGATCTGTGTGTGTGTGTGTGTGTGTGTGTGTGTCGTGCTTTATCATTGTCAATGACCGCGCGAACCGGTTGACCAACCAATGAAATACGCCAGCCTCGGTGCGGCTGAAAACAGAGAACGCTTTTATTTGCCATGATCTGGGACTGTGTGTGTGCGCGCGCGTTAGGTTGTTTGCTGATGTGTGGTTCATGGCGTAGCACCGGCCGTGCTAACAGGCGGACCAAGGAAAATATATCAGTGTCAGCGGGTACAAGCATCAACGTCGCCTTTAGGGGGCCAAAGTTGCAAGATGGGCGTGTGCGTGTGTGCGAGCGATTGATTGTTTGGTCGACAACGACTACGCTAACCGGCTGACCAATGGCAAGACATCAATCTTATGCACAGCTGGCCTATCCGGCGTGTGTGTTCATGCTGGCCCCTTGTCTCAGCGCCTTGCTTGCGTGTGCCTTCCCGCCGTAACCCTACCCCCCGCCGAACGAACCCTTCTTCGCTTCGCTTGCGCACCGGCGTGCTTGGGTTCTCGCGTCCCTCAGGAAGCGGCCGACCTTAACGACCACGAGGACTGCCGCCGCCCCAGCCACCGTGCTTTCGAGAGCCGGTACCACCGGCACGTCCTAATCTGCGCCGAGACGCGCAGAGCCCTAGCCACCGTGAAGCGGGTCAAGAAAGGAGGCCTCGCCGTCTCGGCCCTGCTGGCGGCGGCCTCGGTGCTGCTGTCGAGAGCGGGCGCTGCGCGTGGCGCCGCCGCCGCCGCCACCGCCGCCCCACCCGGAGTGGGGGGCCTCGTCGCGGCGTTAGGGTCGCTGTGTTCGCTGGGGTTAGCCGCGGCCGCGAATGCTCTCGAGGCGCGGTTTTACACCAATTTTGAGAGGCACCCTTCCCTGGGGTGATGGGGCGTGCGCGTACTGTGATAGCTCCTCGGTGTGCAGAACACAAAGAACGAGTTCGTTTCCTTCCAAGTTTTTTTTGCCGTTGGGGGCGCCAGCGAGTTAGCGGTGAGGTTTCGCATGGCTCGAGTGCTCCGTTGCTTTTGGTGCCCGCTTGCCGCGCACTCGAAGACAGCCGCGGCACGAGGACGTAGGGCGCGCGTGCGTAGTGTTAGCGGTGTCTTGCCGAGTCGCCATCTTTCGCGCGGCGTTCTCTCCAGGGGTTTTTCCGTGGCGTCGCCCCAATATAAGAGCAGGGCTCGGTTCCTGGGTATGTCATGCTCACGAGGACAAGTCGAAGAGTCTGAAAGCTGACACACATGGTGTAGATGTTCCGGGGTCGGTCCAAACTGCTGTGGACGGTTTCGTTGAGCAGAGGGGTGTGGCCACATGATGTCGCATGTGCAAGTGGGGGGGGTTGTGTGAGCACGATATACATGCATGCTTTTTTTGCACTCCTGATGAGCTGAGCTGAGTATTCCGGCGCAGCAAACTTCGACACATGTGCGCTGTAGTTGGGCGCTTCCTCTCATGTATCAAGTTGGAGTGTTCCCTACTTGTCACATGTTTTCTACACAGATCGGTTTCGCGCAAGGGTGGGGGGGTAAAAGAAAAGTTTTCCTATTTTACCATATTAATGTTTGCTTCTTCTCTGTGGTCAAAAGCGTTGGAATTATCAAGGCCAAGACGCCTTTGACGGTGAAAGCACATAGTTGGTGGGTGGGAGGATGGTGTTCACTTTTGAAAGCTTTCCGTTGGGATCCAGCCTAACAACCAATGGGGCGGGAGGGGGGCAGGAGACGGACGAGGCGGCGAGGGAAGAAAGTGAACGAGAAGAGACGGACCGAGTGGCGTGATACGTGCCGGATTGGATTTCTTTTAGCCAATCCTCCCCCCCAACGCTGCACCATTGCACCAACCACCCACTAGTGATGACGTACCATTACCATGTATCGCTGGTTGGTGGCCATCTTTGCGTGTTTGCTTGTTCGTTCGTTAGTGGTCTCTCCACCGTGTGCCTTATTCTGTCTCTTTTTCTTGTTATTTTCGGCCTGGTCTCTTTTTGTCCTCGCTCTTTTTCTTTTTCGTTTTCTTTTTCGTTTTATTTTCTCTTTTCTTCCTGTTTCCTTTACTTTTTCTCTTTTTCTCTTTTTTCTCTTTGTCGCTCTTTTTTCTCTCTTTTTCTGTGTCAGATGGCCTTGTCTCTGCTTGCGTGTGAAGCACCAAGATTGAACCAAGGGGGTGTACCTCTTTCTCTCTTGTCCGTGATGCTGACTCCTAGTCTCAGTTGTTACCTCGCATAGCGCGCAGAGGGAGCGGAGGACTCCAGAATATCTGTCGTTGATTTCTATTGACTTGCGGACCCCTCGGGGCCAGTTTTTTTTAGCGTACCTTTTTAGGGTAAGTTAGCCTGTCCCCACGGGAATCGACTGCGTCAAGTGTTGGATCAGTACGGACATATGAAAGTACTGGGTGTAGAGAGATCGGAACGGTTTTTGATGTGAAGACAACAACAACAACAACAACAACAACAAGCCTATTAGGAGTGCGGTGCTCTAGAAGGTAGAGGCGAATTGGGCACAAGTACATGTCGTGTGCACCAAGAGCAAGAAGCGATTTGAAGCTTGGCTTGTCTATGATTTTAACAATCGTTTGCGTTACCAGGTATTAAGTTGAATTTCGTGCGAAGTAAATTGTGGATGGAGTATTGTCTACAGAATGTTTTATGTTCAAAAATAAGTGCCTGCACGGTGGTTGTCTCTCGGTCTGTTCACGGTGGTGGTTTCTACGAGCTTCGCTTGCCAGGTAAATGGGCGGGGATGTTCGGTGTATGGGCCCGCTTCGCTAAATTGGAATTGCCCTCTTTCGCTGCGTTGGGGACATACTAAATGTCCGCCTTCATGTGTTCCTATACCTTTGCTTTATGGATCTTTGTCATGTCGTGCCCGCCTGCCAGTGTACTGAGTGATGCGTCTGGTGCGGTTGAATAGGGTCTCGTATTTGATTGGTAGCGCAGCTTGCCTCAGACAATCGTGCTACATGTAGTCCTCAAGAGATTCTCGTTTACTGCTTTGCGCTGATACTGTACGTCAAAAGGCCGCAACGAACGCTCTCTTGAGAGGAAAATTACATCAACAAAAGAATTCCCTGCATGAAACTCTTGTCACTTCATGCTGTAGACGAATGTTTGGGTTTGGATGCCACATCAATGGGTCACCAAGAATCTACCCTTCCACTAAGAACCGAACGCCCAACGACTAGGGTGAACCCCCAAGACTGGATGCAAACCCATCGGAATGGGGGCGTGATACCCGTTCTCGGTTGGTTGTTTGTGTGCTTCTGAAACCACACACGCAGCATCGACCGCGCTATCCGGCCGACCAACGAAATTTGGTCAATTTTGTCGCGGGACAGCAACAGCCCGTCCGCGGACTTCCCCAAAGGGGGGAAGGTGCTTATTCGTGTTTGTTGTTGGCAATGCTGCTTGCCTCAGGCAACCGTGCCATACCGTATATGACACAAGATAACACACCCCCTTGACCGATTTTCAAAGCTCGATTTCTCAACAGCAGGAAGAGTCACAGCGCCGAAAACGGCGGCGTTGGAACCGTCTCGTCGAGAGCTGTTCGAAAACGTACTGTTTCATTTATGCATCCTCTTCGTCGTGGAGTAATCGAGCTTTGAAAATCGGTCCAGGGGGTGTGTTATCTTGTGTCATATACGGTAATCCTCTTGAGAGATGCAATATCCCTTACCTTGTTTTTAAGGTGGTGGTGGTGGTCGTGTCATGATGCGGGACGGTGCGTGACGTCGGCGGTTTTGCCACGAACGAAGCCGGATAGATGGGCAAAGACGACAACCATCGCCTAGACACAACTTGATGTAGAGAGTACGGACGAGACTAAGATCCCAACCAATCCCTGCGCGCAAAGGGCTGCCAACTTTAACTCTTGTTGCACCTACAGTGTATATCCATCCGCGTGTTAGATATACTCGCAGCAGTATCTGGTCGTGAGGATCCCAGGGGGATACGTGTTGGGAATTTCGTGTGTTGTGGGGTACCACCGGTGCAGTCACGGGGACCCTTTTGGCGTGGCGGATGTGATGAGGCTTGCGTGCGTGCAGCTCACTTCCTCTCTCTCTCCACCACCACCACCGTCTCTCTCCAATCAAGTTTCCTTCTCCCACTCTCTCTCCAACTCTCTCTCAATCTCTCTCTCTCGACCTAACACGGCCGACTACCCAGTGCCCCAAGTAACGTCCAGAACGTACTTGCTGCACCCCGCGTAGTTTACCTTTCACGCGGGTGCACGGATCAGAGACAAATATACAGGGGGGGAGGCGATGGTGCGTGTTTGTTGTTGTTACCCTCTTCTTCGCAAGTTTAGATCGATCTCAGTCCATGAACAAGAAAATTCGGCCCTGCTCCCAACAAATCCGTTCATGAGGGAAATTTCATGTTGCGGGGGGGTCCAGCAGCTCCTGTTCAGGTATGTTTAGTCTACTCTTCAATGAAAACGAGTTTTCGTGGTGATGGACTTCTCCACATGAAGGTTCAACTGGGCGAAGAAGACATAATCCACGACGTGAAGCGAAAACCGGCCAGAACTTCGTGCCGATTCTTTCTTGTGTTCACCTCTCACATCTCCCATCATTCTCCACACTACGCCCATTCGTCTTGTTAGCACTCGTCGCGATAGGGAGGGAGCGAGGAAACATGGCACAAGAAGGCGTCGTCAAAGAGGGACCTCTTCAGGCAACTTCAGGTCGTGCCTGTTGCCACACAGGTAGCCATATCGACGAGAGGGCAGCGATTTCAGGTGTATCTCTGGGGGGGAGGCAAGCGATTGAAGGAAGGGCATCGACAACGGGAGAGTCTGCACCACCATTGATTTGGGGTTGGAGTTAAGATGCGCAGAGTAGGTCATCCACCTCCTTATGTATGTGTGTGTACGTGGTTCTTGTGCTTGTCGGTCGTCTGTGTTCATGTATCACAGTTTGATTGTTGTGTGGTTTTTGTGTTTCTTTGTGTTTTGTGAAGTATACCTGTTGGTTTTAGAGAAGACTTGTTTCCTTTCTTGTGTGAGAATGAGGTTGGCTGTGAAGCCACAAATTAAATATATTAGATAGGGGGTCCCGAGATGAAGTTGGAACATTTACATAGTGTTATGTTGTTGGAGATGACATGTCGGCCGGATAAAGTACGGATCATGCATGTGTTTGTTGTGTTTTATTGACTGAATCTGCAATAACTTGTCGGATGGCAAGCGAAATATGAATCACGACAACAATCAATGAACAGACGAGAAACAAACATGGACGCATCCGGAGGGAACAAGCTCTGCTGTAGACAAAAATGAAGTATGAGTACCCTCCGCCATATGAAGCTGTGGACCACATTTTTAGAAGCAATAAGTATGACAATAGGATGGAACGCGAATTGAATCTGAACGGTCCTTCGTGCTTTACACATCCACCGCGAAAGAACGACGTTGTAACAATCTCCCTTTTTGCCCCCAATATAGAGCAGCAGTTCTTACACCTCCGCGTCGAAACCGGGTTGGCGCGTTGGGTGCCGCCTTTTTCGTATTCGTACAGTAGACGGTACCGCTCGACACGAAATATCAGTCTAAGACATGTAAAATCTCGCTACGCTTCGCTTTGTTTTTGGGTGCTCCCTCTACATCACGTAGTCAGCATACCTTACATTCCGACTCGGCGATAGGTTCTGCCTCCCATTTGGACGTCGCTCACCATACTGTCCCATACAGCTAGATATATATACCGTACGTATTAAATCCTTCTCCGATGTGGGCCCGGAAACGTATGCCTCAAGCTCTATTTTTGGCATTTGAGCCCCGCGATAGCAGAATGATAGCTGCGCCCGTGGGGACGCAGTGGTGGCGCTTTGGGCGCCAATTGGAGGCATACTGTATGGATGATGATGGACGGAGTTCTTTGAG